GTGCAAATAGTTTGGATGGAGCAGATTTTGTTATGTGTGTCCAGGAAGGATTTCTGACTCAATATGTAGATAGGGTGACAAGAAGGGAGGCCATATTGGATTTGGTGCTTGGCAACAAACCAGGCTAGGTGTCAGATCTAGGTTCTGCAGTTCCTACTATCTCTGATTCAATTTTAACCCCACTGCGAAGCCTCTTCTAAGGATGCCTAACCTGAAGAAGTTACCCTCCTCCCTCCGGACAAACCTCAAGGGATCTCTCTCCCACTGCAACTCTCTCGTAATCTCTTCGGCCCTGAAACTGCTCGACCACGTCCTGAAGCAAACCAGGTACTACAGACACATCACCTTCCTTAGCACCTGCCTACGGAACCAGATCATCCCCAATGGACTACAATCCACATTCAAGCCTTCCCAATTTGGCCCCAACCGTGATAATATCTACACTCATGGTGTTGAGATCCTTCAGAAGCGTTTCTCCCTGCGACTCCTGAAACACACACTTGCAGCAATGCACCGGCATCTCCACGCACTACAATCAAGCCTACCCCAGCTCAGAGCCTCCCTCTCCCAGAGCTACAAAGGACCTCTCCTGTTTTTTATTCTACGTAGGATCCACAACCTGAACTCCCAATTCTACTCAGCTTTATTGGACACTAAAAACCGTAAGTACAGTAAACTTACTGGTGCCTACCACCCAAAACGGGCTTCCTCCACCCCCCCAAATCCCCAGCCGTACCCAGGACCTTCCCCACAATGGGTCCGCCGCCATTGGCCATGAGGCCACTATCGGAGAACCCACAGATGACGTCACATCCGCCACCGCCGGGTTCCCCACTTCCGGGACAGCAAACACCATCGCTGCCGTTGCCACCGACACCGAAGTCGCGACCACCCTCACCGCTACTGCCGCCGCCTACCTCGTTCCTCCTACCTCCGACGCCGGTCCGCCCATCACCGACGCGGACGCAGCTCCGCCCACTGCCGACGCCGACGCAGCTCCGCCCACTGCCGACGCCGACACAGCTCCGCCCACCGCCTCCACAGCCAGCAGCTCCAGAGGAGACAGCAGCACCCAGCCCTGCCGAGTCTTCACCATCCCCCCAGACCTACCCCTTACTGAGGACGAACGGTCAGTCCTCAGTAAAGGGCTCACCTTTGTCCCCCTCCACCCACAGATCAACGAATACCGCTCACGCTTGGACATAGAGCAGTTTTTCCGCCGCCTCCGCCTCCACACTTACTTCTTTAACCGTGAAACTAACCCTCCCTCTACTGACCCCTTCTCCCACTTCCAACACAACCCCTCCTCCTGGACACCACCCCAAGGCCTCCTACCCTCCCTCGACCTCTTCATCTCCAACTGCTGTCGAGACATCAATCGCCTCGACCTCTCCACCCCTCTCACCCACTCCAACCTCTCCCCCGCAGAACGTGCAGCCCTCCGCTCCCTCCGCTCCAATCCCAACCTCACCATCAAACCCGCGGACAAGGGAGGTGCAGTTGTAGTATGGCGCACTGACCTCTACATCGCCGAGGCCGGACGCCAACTCTCCGACACCTCCTCCTACCGCCCCCTTGATCATGATCCCACCCCTGAGCACCAAACCATCATCTCGCAAACCATCCACAACCTCATCACCTCAGGTGACCTCCCACCCACGGCCTCCAACCTCATCGTTCCCCAACCTCGCACTGCCCGCTTCTATCTCCTTCCCAAAATCCACAAACCTGAATGCCCTGGTCGACCCATTGTCTCCGCCTGCTCCTGTCCCACCTAACTGATCTCCAACTATCTAGACTCCATTTTCTCCCCCTTGGTCCAGGAACTCCCTACCTATGTCCGTGACACCACCCACGCCCTCCACCTCCTCCAGAACTTCCAATTCCCCGGTCCCCAACACCTCATCTTTACCATGGACATCCAGTCCCTCTACACCTGCATTCCCCATGCAGATGGCCTTAAGGCCCTCCGCTTCTTCCTGTCCCGCAGGCCCGACCAGTCCCCCTCCACTGATACCCTCATCCGCTTAGCCGAACTCGTCCTCACACTCAACAACTTCTCTTTCAATTCCTCCCACTTCCTACAGACAAAGGGGGTAGCCATGGGTACCCGCATGGGCCCAAGCTACGCCTCCCTCTTTGTAGGTTACGTGGAACAATCCCTCTTCCGTACCTACACCGGCCCTAAATCCCACCTCTTCCTCCGTTACATTGATGACTGTATCGACGCCGCCTCGTGCTCCCACGAGGAGCTCGAACAGTTCATACACTTCACTAACACCTTCTACCCCAACCTTAAGTTTACCTGGACCATCTCTAACACCTCTCTCCCCTTCCTGGACCTCTCTGTCTCCATATCGGGCAACCACCTGGAAACCGATATTCATTTCAAGCCCACCGACTCCCACAGCTACCTAGAATACTCCTCCTCCCACCCACCTTCCTGCAAAAATGCTATCCCCTATTCCCAATTCCTTCGCCTCCGCCGCATCTGCTCCCAGGATGAGGCATTCCACTCCCGTACATCTCAGTTGTCCTCGTTTTTCAAGGACCGTAACTTCCCCTCCTCGGTGGTCGAGAACGCCCTCAACCGTGTCTCCCACATCTCCCGCACCTCATCCCTCACACCCCGTCCACG